GATATTTTAATCTTTTTTAATATGAATTTATTAAAATAATATAAATTTAAAATAATTTTTCTTTTAATCTTTGTAAGGTAATGCAGAATTGCAGATAGATATTATTTATTTAATTTATATGAAAAATATAAATATTAACTTTAATTTTAATTGGTTAGTTTATTAAAATTATTTACGTAATATTAGTGTTAAAATAAATATCAATTTTTGTTTTTTAATTAAAATTAATTATAAATTGCACTCTTTATTTGTGTTCCTATAGTATAAATTAAACAAACTCAATTTAAGTTTACAATTTAACACATTATTAAATAAATATATATATACAATAATATTAAAATGATACCATTAATTATGTAATCTGATTCTACAATTATTTATATTCTTAATGGTATATTCAAAATTTAATTCTTTATCATAATAATAATAATAATAATAATAATAATAGAGTGGCTAGGGGTGGATAATCAAATGGTTAGCAGGAAATCGAACTTAAAAAATGAATTCAGTTTGATTTCAATGGTTTTTGAGTTTTACTGTTTCAGTTTGGTATTAACCAACTAAATTTTGGTTTGGTTTCGATTGAACTTTTCATCAACTAAAAACCAAAATGAACCTCTTGAAAATCGAAATTTGGATAAATATAATAAAATATGACATAAAATATAATTTATTATTGAAAAAAAAATAATTAATGTTTATCTGTAAAAATCGAATCCAAAGATAAAATAACCAATTTTATTGGTAACTGAATCAATCGGTTGGTGAAAAATTCAGTTTGGTTTTGGTTCTTAAAATTTAAAAAAAAAAACAAAAAAACAAAAAATTGGTTAATTTAAAACCAGTTTCGGTTTCAACCGAAACCGGTTTTTGCCCACCCCTAACCAGTGGTGGAGAATTTAAGAGAATACAATGTGACGGCTGCATGATACTGACCCTAGATGGAAAAGGACTGGGACTGGGACTGGGAACAGTCTCCCCCATTCAAGGGTTTTTTTGTTTGCGCACTTAGATTAGACTGCAAATTTTTAGCGGTTATGGACAATTAAGAAAATTATAGTACAGTAGTATGTTGGAGGAAGAAATAACTAAGAAAAAGAAATATGTATACCAATGAAATAAAACTTGACTTTGCGACTGTAAACTTCCCAGAAAATTTTGAGTAGAAGCAGCCAATTCTACTTTTCTAGTTTAAGGCATGAGTCACGCTGGCACTTAACCCCACTGCACCTCTTAGTCGCCAATTGTAAGCCAGACACATTTAATTCTTTTTTGATACTAGTCATCCCAAGGGATAACCCAAAGACATGCTTCAGAGTGTATTTGGAAATTGTAATGTCAGAATGAAATTGTAAATTCTTGGTCATCCACTAGCTACATGAATTAGGAAAAGGTAAGGGAATGTTTTTTTATTTTTTATTTTTCCTAGTGAAGGCAATTGGGAAAAGGCAAGGAAATTGAAGCGAAGCTTGGATAATTCCATGATATATCTTGGAGAATATACTTCTCTTTACACTCAAAAAATTTATTTACCTTATAAGTTTTCTTAAAAAATGATACACCCTCAAGATTATATATATATATAAAGTGAAATTTGGGTAGTTGAAATAGTTGTGTCACTTATATAAAAGACTTTCAATATCGTGACAAGAATTTAAAGTTGTGTTTCTTTCTTTATTTTTTTTTCTTCACATGCATGATTCACTTACTTTAATATATTAAAAAAATAAAAAGAAAAGATATTTCCTCTCTTCAAATTAGTTCGCCACTTGTCTTAACTTTGCACACTATTTTATATTAAGAGTATTTTTATATAATGTGTGAATTACAAAATTATTAAATAAAATTACATACTAAAAAGTCATAATAAAAAGTACATAATACCAACATAAAATTAAATTACCAATAAATGGAGGTACTTACATTACTTTAAGTCTAACAAGTTTTCTTCATAATTGATCCATGTAGGATTTTTTCTCCTCTAATACAATGGCACATGATGGTGTAGGATTTTTCTCCTTTAATACAATTTTTCTCCTTTAATACAATCGCACATGATGGTGTAGGATTTTTCTCCTTTAATACAATCGCACATGATGGTGTAGGATTTTTCTCCTTTAATACAATCGCACATGATGGTGTAGGATTTTTCTCCTTTTAACACAATGGCACATGATGGATTGAATTACTCTTCCTTAGGGGTGGCAAAAATCTATCTTACCCATAAAAATAGGTTAGGGTCTATATATCTTAATTTACAACTCGTAGATAACTCATAATATCAAATTATCAATCCATATAAATCACGGGTTGGGTTAAGGTCAACCCTCGAGTTGATTAATTGATCCATTTGTTTTATTTTTTTATTATTATCTTTAAGAATATTGTATTTATTATTTTTAATTAATTTTTCTATTGGTAACTCTTTTTATTAATTCATACTCTTCAACCCCATTTCCATTATTCAAATGGTTTTGAACTTATTTTTAGTGTTTATTCATCATAATTTCTTCTTCTTTTTTTAGATGTGGGTTTGATCTAATTATCACATATTATGAATTAAATGATAATGTAACTAAAAATATTAAAGATATGATGCTAGGATATAAACATAATAATTTAGTGAAAGATGTTCATGGAAAAGCAATTTCATCATAAAAAATAGACTTAAACTCCTTGATAATGTTTTAAGATGATTGTAAAATTAAAATTTTATTTTCCAAGAAATTTAAATATTTTAAATTTAATATTGTTAATCAACTTACTATTATTTATAACTTTATAATTTTTTTAATTTAAATATTTGTGATTAAAACTATAAAATGTTTAGTGTTAATGAGTTACAATACTTTAATTATATTTCGATATATATAATTTCATTTGTATATAATAAAATTAATAAAAATAATTATAAAAAATAAAAATAATGCTAATACGTGAGTTAACCCATAACTCATTAGGATCGAGTTAAGGTTGGATTTTTCAAATTTGCAACCCATTTACAACACAACTCATATAACCTGTCATCTGAGTTAACCCGATCTAAATCCAATCCAATCCAATCCGAATTTGTCCCGACCCGACCCGACCCAACAAGTCCATTTGCCAGTCTAATGCACATATGTTTCATTGGTTGATAAAAAAAATTAATTTATTGACTTTTTTTATATATTTAATAAATGAGTTTAGCTAACTTCTACAGGCACATGTTATAGGTGCATTAATTATACTCTTTTATATTCAATTTCTATAAAAAAAAAAAAATTTTAAGTTTACTTTATTTTTATTTTGAATATCTTATGTATATTTTTTTAAAACGGTTGATAAAATTAAAATTATTTTTTAATTTTTTAATAAAAAAATATTTTGTAGTCTAAACTGTATTAAACAATATAATAATAACTATTGAATGAAAGTAGGTTCACTCAATATTAGGGATCCCACCCCCATCTAATAGCTTTTATTTTATAATCCGGTGCAATCTGAAATATAAAATAGGGTATTCTTTATCAATATCAATTAATTACAAAAAGTGTAATAAAAATATCCTTATTCTATGTTCTAAAAGTACAAATTAAAAATTCCCTTAATAAATTAGCTATAGAAATGAGATAACTCTCTATTTTTTCTTTCTTTTCCTTCTCATCTTCAAATTTAAGTTTAAGGCTTTATTCTTAAAAATTAAAAAAAAAATTAAGGAAAACTTGCAGGATCATACTTCCCAAATGGTCTGACCATCCGACTGTCCGTCTGTAATTACTAATTGGTGTGAAGGGTCCTGAAACTTTCAATGCAAACATGAATGAAACATGGAAAACAAGAGACGCATGAAGATTGCAAGAGTATAATCATAATGGAGGATAGAAACAAGAGATATGCATTGAATTTTTTATTTTTTGTTTATAACCTCCCAAAACAAACCATGCATTGATAATAAACAAAATAATGAATGTTATTTACAAATCTTTGCTTCCTGATGTGGTCTGGCCATTGTTTATTTTGTATAGTAAACATCGAAAGCAAATACTTTAGTTTATTTTATTTTTTGGATTTGAATATTGTTAAATGTCTCTTAATCAATAGCAATTTACAATATATATTTTTATATTAGTTTAATGTATTTAAAAAAATTAATTTTTTTAATTATTAATTTTAAAACTTAATTTTAAATTTAATGTACAAAATAATGTTTATTTATTAACAAGTCAACTCTAGTTATGGGAACAAACATTTGTTCGTAAATAGCTTACCAATTAAAAAAAATCATTTGTTTGCAAATAGTGTTACCATATTTTTCAATTATTAAAAGCAAATGTGAGTTCTGAATTTGAATTTGAGAATATATTTTATGTCAAAGATTTTTAATTTCTTTGATCGACGAAAATGTTCATTGTATTAATAATTTATTTGGAGAAATAGAAGCCGTCCTGCAAAAAAAAAAAAAAGGATTTAAGATAAGAGAAAAAGAAAAAGAAAACCATTAATACTGTTTTTTTCTTCCCTACCCCAAACTAGTAAGGGAATATCTTTATAAGATATATGAATCTTTTTATTTTATAATTTAAATTATATTAAATTATAAAATAAAAAATAATTAATTAAAAATAAAATATTTATTATGAAAAAATTATTTTTATTTAATATGTCAAATCATACAATTTATACTGTAGAATAATTAGTTTTAGGCATATATAAGACACTCTTTAAGATATATGGCCGAGTCGCGTGATTCTTATGAACAACATGATGGTGAGGACTGAGTTGCCAAAATTGAAAGTATGGGGCCTGGGTGTAGAGCTAGCTTGTACGAAACAAATTCTGTGGCTTGATTCTGATCGAGACACTTGAATTCGTTTTTTTTTTTTTAACAAATTCGCATGGAGTCGAATACAAATCGTTGCTTTAAGGAGGAGAATTATATTTATATGTAATCTGATATCACTAGATCGAAGGTCAAGTGTGAGACATGTGAATTTGTTTTTAACAACAAAACTAGAAAAGATCAAATTTTCTAGGAAATTGAGGAAAGCAAAGGAATGGACACAACCAACTATTTGATTTATATTATCCCAAACGGTAGTTGAGGAGGTGATGATAATTTTACCAGTGTTTCTTTTTTTTTTTTAATAAGTTACACCTTTTTAAAGAGGGGAAATTCAAATCCAACTTAAAAGTTAGAAAATGCACTATTTAATATAATTTGTCGTTATTTAACCTAAAAAGCTAGGTGCTTTAATCAATGTTTGGTGACATTTGACATTAAAAATGTCATAACCCATAGTCAGGAGTTTGTCGAAACTTTTTGTGTTAATTTTGTAATTATAATTAAATATTTTGATATTTTAAAATTTAATTTATAAAGTTACTATAACATACAAACAAAACAGAACAAAACAATAAAAGATACATAAAAAGGAAAAACGTCCTAATATGAATTGAAAGGTAGAAGGTCAGATTCTGTATAGTTGTATGCCTTTTTGCCCTTAACGACAGTGTTGAAGAAAAATTCAATGAATGAAGAGATATATATATATATATTTTTTTTTAAATTTTTATAGGGGAAATCAAACTCAATCATGAGATGTTGTATGGTTTATAACTTGGGTGCTCCCACCCTCTTCTTCAAATGCGATTAGAAGGGTGCTATTTCCCAACATCGACAGATGAGGTGACTGCAGCTTGCAGGTGAGCACATGCACATGCACAAAGCAAAAGGGTACCTCAGTCAGTCCATTTAATAAGGAGGTACTCAATAATTATAAGTTCCTGGTGGATAAGGTATTGAAAATAATATTATTTATAAGATAAAAGTGTTTTGTAAATTATTTTTTTTAATTTTTTTAAAAGATATATTTAAAATTTTATTTTTTAGTTAATATTTGTAAAATTAATTATTTAATTAAATATTCTATTTACATAAGTTATGTATATTAACTTTTAAATTATTTTAATAGACATAATTATTTCATTAATAATAAAAAATGTAATACTATTAAATATATGTCAGTAAATAAAGTTTTTTAATTGAACAATTATAAATGTTATATTAATATGAAAATTGATACGTATAATTTATATAAATAAAATTTTTAATTTCACGATTGGTTTTTAAAAATATTAATTAAAAGATAAATTGTTAGACAAACTTTCTTAAAAAATTTAAAAGAAATGAATTGCTTTTCACTATTCTGTATTTACAGTAAGACATAATAGTCATTTAATGAGATTTATGACAATAAATTTATAAATTTATATAATATTATAATTATAGTATTATTAATAACATTTTTTTTTACAAATGTGGTTTTTCAAAAAAAATTAAGATGGCACCTGGCGCTTGAGGCCTAGTGGCAATAGCCACCCGGGTGCATTCCCCCCTCCCCGGGCTGGGTTCGAAACCCGCCCCTTGCAAATATGTTCAAAAAAAAAAATTAAGATGATTTATTATGATAACCCTTTGCTCTTTAAAATTTGAACTAATCCTTCATTTTTATAAAGTCTTTAATTTTTAACTACTAAAATATTTTGGAAACCATTGAGCAAATGTGGTGTTCTAAGATATTTACAATGAGACATAATAGTCATTTAATGAGATTTATAACTAAATTTATAATTTTATATAATATTATAATTATAATATTATCATTAACATTTTATTATTTTTACAAATGTGGTTTTTCAAAAAAATAAGATGATTATTATGGTAACCCTTTGCTCTTTAAAATTTGAACTAATCTCTGCTACTATAAAGTCTTAAATTTTTAATCACTGAAATAATTCCTAAGCCACTGAACAAATGTGGTGTACTGGTCATGACCTATTTTCCAAAAAAAAAAAAAAATGTGGTGTACTGGGACATTTGCTGTCCAGATGATCAATACCACAAAAAAAATCTTGTGCCGACTGTCTTCTTTTGTTCTCTTTACCACAAATCATTTGATTTCTTTTCTTGTTCCATCCATACTGTTCTTGTTTTGGGTGCTCAATTATTAAATATCACAGTACTTTCCGTTCCCATCGTGATTTCATTTTCTCTCAATTTACTAGGTAGAGCAAATGCGCCAAACAAATTAAGTGCTCGTACCTAAATTATTGGACAATTCCACTTTTTAGGAGTTCTATCATAATCAAAATAATTTTACTACTAATCTAGGGATTTAGTTGCTCAACTGCTTTGCGATAAAAATTGATCTTAAACTGGATATTTATGACTTTTGATCTCCATGACTATTTCTCTTGTTCAAGAATATGAAACCCTGTGCTCACAAAGGCATAATTTTGGAGCTTCTCAAGTCAGCTTGAGCGGTTTAAACAACCCATGTCTTGGATTTTAGCTTTTTAAATAATATCGTCTGAAATCATGTTGGGTTGGTAAGAAGAAAATTAATAAAATTATTATGAAAACATTGGTAGGAAAATATTTCTTTAACCAAATGCATTTATAAACAACACAATTTGCACAAGCTTTTATTGCTAACTGCATGTCTGTTTACCTATGACATCTCTCGGAACCTAGCCAGCGCCTTCTTTTGAATGACTGTTTTGTAACTATCTCCAGCCTGCACCTCAAGGCTTGGGTCCACTGCCTTCTTCTGATTGCTTCCAAGTCCTGCTCTGCTATCAATGGCTTGTGCTTGAACTGGTTCTACCATTCCACTTCCATCCTTTCCCAATCCCTGAGTACCATATCAAGTGCAAAAGAAACAGAGAAGGCAATCCAGATTGAAAATGGTTAGAATGGTGCTTCGAACTACATAACCAAGCAACCAAAACACTACCCCATTTGGACCCTCAAATGAAATCAACAACATGCTCTGGTAAAGGGAAAAATTAGAAGATCAAAGCCCTACTTGAAATTAGTACAATCCAAAAGAAGATTTCCCTTTTCCTTTTCAGATTTTAATAATGCCAGTATCTCCTGTTAAGTTGATAGGAAAGTGGAAGTTTCCTATGATGGAGTGCAAAAATTTTTACCAACTTTTACAGGATCAGAAAGGGTGAGAGTTGACACAGGCAAGACAGGGAATTATGAGAATATAAAAAGGAACATCAAGCTGCTACTCCTTGCAAGGAGAGGCATGTAATACAACAAAAAAAAAAGTGAAATTAAACAGCTAGAAGAGCATAGGAGGGAAACGGTACCAAGCCTTCCTGCCAACCCATATTGCGGAGCATTCGGTTGCCTACATTCTTCTCATCAATTGCTTTGTCTGCAGTGATCAGTTCATAACTCTGAACATCATCTAACATGACTCCACGTCCACCCCCAACGCCTGGAGGAAAAGGCATTGGATCGGAGGAGACCTTTTTGAGTGCAAAATCTTGATCTTGAAAGTTCACCAATGCAGGATTTCTCACAATTAATAAACATATTTGAGAGATAAAGCAATGTAGTCATCAACTCAGAACTATATTAAACAGCTGATGTTTAATAGAAATCCAAGTGTAATTTTGAAGAATAAGGTGCGAAATCAGGAATGCCATGGTTAGCAATCAAACAAAAATAACACTTGAGAAACCATTCTAAGGCAGGCTTACTTGAATTCCCCAGCTCAAGCTCTGACATATTATCTCCAATGGATGATGATGAACCATATAAGCTCCTCCTCTCTGCTGCACGATCTCTATAAGTAGTCTGAGGCTGCTCCTTAGAGGGTAGTGGTGTTTCAGAAAACCTCCTTTTGCCACTCCCAACAACGACCGATGGTGCATAAGAACCCAATGCAGATGCATCTGTTCTGAAAGGAGTGCCAACTATTGGTGCTTCTAAATTAGTTGACAAAGATGAACCCATTAAACTAGCCGGAGCAGCAGCAGCAGGTGATGTGGAAGCTCCAGCACATGAACCAGACATATCAGATTGCCCCAGACCTCTTGTGGAACCCCTTATAACTCCCATTAGAGTTCCCCCTGAGCTGTTACTTATAGGCCTTGACTTGACGGGCGACTCCAAAACAACAGCCGACATACCTTGAGAGGTGGTATCAACTCGAAAACTTGATGAAATATTGTCCTTTGCTATCGACACATTAGATTTTGCCTTGCTCTTTGTGTATTGTCCAACTGAAGAAGGTTTTTCCTCAGCCAAAGAAGAAAGTTGATTGTCATCGAGCGCCAAACGTGTTGCCTGCCCTTCATGACTCCTCTGTTTCCACATTGACAGTACATTATTCATTTTTTTCTTATTAGCAAGTATACTGCTCTTTGAAGATAGTTTTATCTCTTTTGCTTTCTCCTTCTCTCTCTTTTCTGCAGCTATTGCTGCTGTTGCGGCAGCTTGGACAGCATCTGGCAGTGATGCAGCCTTCTCAACTGGTGGAACAGTAGCAGCAGGAGCAGAGATTACTACTTTCCTATTGTTGGAACCATCAACTGCCTTTGAAGACTCAGATTGTTTAATGGTTGCTTTGTTGTCATTCTGATCGTTGCAAGGGATGTACTGTTGATTTTGATGATCATATGAATACCAAATCCCATTGTTACCATCATAATAAAGTCCTGCACATCGCAAGAAATTACAAAAATATCAAGAAGTGCATGGCAGATTATATTGCATATTATACCTTTAATTCTAAAAAATTAAAGTACAATGAAGGACATGTAACTATGGAGGCATACGAGATCATTTGTGGCAATACAAATGTATTTTTTACCATAAACAGAGAGGGTTCCAAAATGTAACACATCAAGCTCCAAGAGATATGATGGGAACCACTATAGAATGAAAATAATAACCAGACAGCTTCTAAAACCCCTAAAGAGAGAGATGAACAGAAGGGAGTTTAGAAGTCAGACTAGTCAGTTGCTCTAATATTCTCCACTTACATGCAAAGTCTAGATTACTGAGGTAAGACAAGTGATAACTCTTCAAAGACAGAAAAATGTGGACATGATTTTGGAAGTTTTTATTTTTAATGGCCATAATATGCTTTGATTGAATAGAAAGCAAGCTTCTATAAAATAAATGAAAACCAAAAGGAAAATACCTGTATTTCCATCATAATAAAACCCAGAAGCAGCATCATAATAATAACCAGACGCTTCATCCCAGACAAAACCAGACTGCAAATTTGAACCATCTTGTTGAATGGTAACCATCCTACTTCCCTGGTCCTGCCTCCCAGCAGACTCTTTTTCATTGGGATTATATTCCTTTGGTGTCCATCCAACAGCATCATACTAGAAAGATATATGATTAGCATAAGAATTTGATCAGCATTTGAGGTACTTTAGAACATAGCATGAGGTACTTTAGAACATAGCATGAGGGCTGACCAAGGACATAGGAAATATGCAGAAGTCTGTGTGCCATAGCCATTACATAAAATCAAAGAAGTTTTTCTTATTTTTCTTATTAAAATTGCATGGAGCTTAAGGTATTGTTTGGATTGGAGGTGTCGGACGGAGAGGGAGGGGAAGGGATGGGGACGGATGGCAAGGGAGGGGGAGCGAGGGGGAGCGAGGGGGAGCTGTCTCCTTCCTCCTGTTTGGCTTTCCAAAGAGGCAGAGGGGGAGGGAGATGGATTGATTCGGACTCCCTCCAACCACCCTCAAATCTGCAGATTTGCAATCCGCCCGATTTGGGGGGTTTGGGAGAGATTTAAGTGACTGTTTAGATTATGTTAAATGTAATTACAAAATTAACCTTAATTTTTTTATTATATCCTTCTCCATTACAAGTTTAAAGGATAATTTTGTAAATTTAAAATTAATTTAAATCTTTTCCTTCCTTCCCTTCCTTTTACCTTAATTATCCAAACATAAAATAATACAATCCTTCCCTTCCCTTCCCCTTCCTCATTTTTATTTATCCAAACAAAATTAACACAAATCATTTC